GGGGCTACGTTTCTTATTTTAGGTGTTTTCACAGCCCCAAAAACCCTAAAATAAGAACCGCGGGGGGCGACGTTTCTTAGTTTAGGGGGTTTCCCAGCTCTCCAAACCAACACAATAAGAAATGTAGGGGGCTAATTTTTTTTCTGGGAGGGGTTCACCTACCCCTAAACCCACCCCCAAACCACCAAAATAAAAAGTATGGGGCTAGGTCTTTTATCTTTTTTTGATGTTTGCCGAGCCCCAAAAGCCACTAAAATGAGAAATGTAAGGGCGACGTTTCTTATTTTGGATGGTTTCAGGCCTTGTTCCCGCCCTAAGCCCCCAGCTCTGCGCCTACTCAGATTCGGGATTTTCCAACCTCAAAACCACTTAAAATGAGAAGCGTAGGGCTATGGTTCGTATTTGGGTGTTTTACCGGCCTCCAAAACCATCAACATAAGAAATGTAGGGAGCTACGTTTCTTATTTTCTGCGTTTTCCAGACACCAAAAACCATCAATATAACATGTAGTAGATGCACCGTAGTCAGACCTGCGTACTTCTCTGCCTAGGTGCTTCGAACCCAGCAAGGTGACACAAGGTGCATACGTGAAACTTGCTGAGTTCTTCGGGAACAACTTTTGCAGACTCTAGCCCTTCTCCTGGCCTTGGCTTTTGCCGAATCATCCGCAGTGCCGTCCTGGCACGACAAGCCCAGGCAGCCCGAGCTTGCAACCCCAGTCAGAACCCATCTGAGTGGGTTTTTTGGTGGTAAAGGAAGGATATGATCTCACTCCATATTGGGTCTAGAGTATCCCAGAATACAATACTACTCACCTTGAAACCCCATTCTGGCATGTTTGGACAAGGAACCTGTTTGAATAATTGTGCAGACTCCGGCTGCACTGCTTTGCTGGTTGGAGTTTGGGATGGGTTCCTGTGGGAGATGCAATAGACTGGGAAATGCACTTGCAGTGCGAGGCCACTACAACGACGCCTAATCTCCCTGCATACACCCGCAGCCTTGCACGGAATGAATGCCGTATCGATGAACGTCCTTGGCATTTCTCAACTTCTCAGAAGAAAGCTGACACTCGTATACCGAGCAATGGCACTTTCAGTGGGGAAATTGGATTCATGTTTTCTTACTAACAATGACAAAAGGATTAAGGTCATGCAAGAGCCATGGCAGTCGTAAGCGCGACTCATTGCTTTGAAGCCCTGACACAAGTCGTCGTGTCATGGAGTAGGCATGACTCTCTCTAGCACTCTGACCGCGGGGATTGAAAAATTGACCCCACAGCACGCTCACTGTGCACTGCACCGTTGGCAAATGAGGTCATCACTGCAATTTCTCTTTCTTGGCCTCTGCTTCTGTAAGCTTGGCGTCGCCATCCTGATTGCCACTGCCGTGGCTTTGCCAAATTGGTGGGAAACGTAGCAACGGGAGGAAACCGTTTTGCGACCAAGTTTGTCTGAGGGCTGTGTCAGGAGCTACAGGGATACTCTGAAACAATTCATCTATGATCTTCTTACAGCCGTGCTCACAGAGATAGAGTCACCCCTACCCTGCTCTCTTCGACCGCGCCTTTTGCTCATGTTCGGCAGTCTTGACAGCCTGTGGGTTGGGGGCCGTGGTCATGTCAAGTCAGATGGTCTCGGATTCGCTTCCACGTCAGCCGCTGTCTATCAACTCAACTTTGTGAATTGGAACATGGGTGCTACAGCATTTTGCCGTGAGCTTCCTTTGGTTCGGTTTGGGTAACTGCCTAGGCTGTCTGCGGAAACTCAATATCTTGATATATCTTGATACAAGGTGTCAGAACCATCACAAATCAAAAAGCCCACGCAAGCAGAGCAAGTTATCTGCTAGATCATATCATTGGACATTTCCGCAACTTGGGGCTGGCGCTTCTCAAGACGTTAGGATCCGTCTCACAGAGATTGGCACACTCGATCCCACCCGCACAGTGGGGTTGTTAGATTTGAAGACGTCTATCTTCCACTCGCCATCAGTGCGGTGCCCAACCGCGGAGCATCCAACTACCGAGTATCTCTGGCATGCCCCAGCAGCGCGCAACCGCACGGCTGTTTGCAGCCGATCGACAGAGTAACCGCAGAGTATCCCAGTAGTGCAGTGCCCCAAAGTTTGCATTGCCTAACCGCAGGATATCATCCACAACTGCTCAACCCCAGAGTTTCCTTGCTGCGCCAAACCCTCAAAGTCTGTTTGGCATGCCACAAGCCGCCCCGACACCCCAACAGTAGCGCTTGGAATGTACAGTTGTTATGTATGCAGGCTGGCACAACATTTTCGAATCCGCCGAGGCCGGAGGCCTGGGGCGTTTAGATCCAACCCACCCCCTATACCCCCTCCCAGTGTGCACGATGGGGCGGGGATAGGCTCCGTTTTTTGTGGTTTTTAAATGGTTTCCGCGGGGGAGGGGGGGGCCAGGAGGGGGAGAGAGTGGGGGAGGGGGGCAGGAGAGGGTGGGGGGGTGGACGGTGAGAGCTGCTGACTGCTCTGTCCTATCACCCCTCAACAGCCTTTGTCGAGGCGGTCTCGCGTTAGACGTTAAATTACATTGCTGATAAATGCTCAAAACTGTTGCTGCCAGCAAACCACAAAGAAGTCAGGATGGGGATGTTCGAAGATAAGATAGACCTCCCCTCTGTTCTTTAGGCTAAGCTCTGCCTCGGTTGAAGTCTTCAGCTCGGCCGCAGCTGCTTCGGCCTCCTGATGGACTGGAAGCTGCTATGGTAAGCCAGCTTTCCCTTTCGTGTTTTGGAAACAAGTGGGTACCCTACCCCAACCAGGAGCCGCCATGACAAAGACCTAGGAGCGCATTTGACCTGTAGGGGCCACGTACGCCAAGCAAACGCATGGGGTTGGTTCAATTCTACTGGCCCTTGCGCAGTGCTTCCCCGAGCTGACTTGGCTTGTGTAGATTCGGGCTTTTGACACCTAACGCAGAGCACACATGAGCAAGCAAGAATCCAGTGCATCTGCATGTGTTATGAACTCTTTCTCCCCATGGTGGAGAGGAGCACTGACAGAATCCAGGAAGCAAATCACGATAACAAGCATACGGCAGCATCAGTACAATCCGCAAGCAGCACCCCAAAAAAAAACGCAAAAGAGTTTTATAGGTGCGAAAACTAGCGAGAAGTGACGAAAGGAAACTCCACAAAGATGTAGCGGCGGCGCAGGAGATTGTCCTTCTTGGCCGTCGCCATGAGTGCGGCCTTCTCCTCAGCAGCCTTCTTGGTCTCCTGCCAACTCGACGGACCGGTAAACCAAAGTAAGGCGCTTGCCAGAAAACTGTTACTCGCAGAGCACAGCACGGTAGCTTCAAGTAAAGCGCACATTGGATCTGTACTGCAACGGCATGCGGAGCAGCTTGGGGGATCTTGTGGCCGTCTTGGCGAAGCTCAAACTGCAATGGTTTGCCTGCTCTGAACATGGCAAAGTCTGCTGCCGGGCAGCAAGTTACAACTAGAAGATCTTCAACTAAAATCCAAACAAACTCTGGCTTTCGTAGGCATGCGCGCCTCGACGGCGGCCTGCGGCGACAGATCCAAATTCATGAAACGCGCGCATAAGCTCCACAGCTTGCCAAAACATGCCAAAACCAATGAAGCATGCAGCTTGAAAACCAAGATCGTGCCAGATTCTGCTGCGCCTCTCGCTTGGTCTTCTCCGAGTCTGCGGACCCAAGCTTTCCCTCAGTTCATCTGGATGACAGCGGACTCTGCAAACTCTGCTGGCCGTGCACATCTCAGAAGCCATGCCACCAGTGCCCGTGCATGTCCTTGCCTCAGCAGCAGAGATCTTGGACTCCAGATCCGCCTGTTTTTTCGCACAGACCGTGAGATATCTGCATGAGGTCTACGTAAGCCCCTCGACTCTGATTGCTAAGATCTCGTAAGGATGTAATTGTTCTGCTACAGTTGCCCTAGGGGCATCAATCACTCAGGTTCGGCCTGCACAGAAGCGAGGACTTCCCCAGCCATCGCCACCACACGGACCTGCTGCCCGCATTTGTGAAGACGGATCTAATATGATCTAATGGGTTAGCAGCGTTGGATGTCTGCTCAGATGTGGGTGCTCGTGTGTATTCGGATAAGGAATAGGGTCTGCCGCTGAAGATCGCTCAAGCGTCGAACTGTGAGCTCCTCTGGCCTGGAAATCGTGCCTCTCCTCCTTCGTGTCGCTCAAACCTCGGTTGGATCCAACCATTCCACTGCTACGGGGCAAGTTTAGGAGCCCGCTTTGAAATCAAAAAACCTGAAAAAAACTCCTGGCTTTCGGGGCAAGTTTGGGAGCCGGCCTTGAAATCAAACAATCTTTTTAAAAAATCCTGGCTTGGTCGCTTCTTGCTCCCATGTAGAATCTAGGCACGCAGTGGCTCGACATGAATTTGTACCACATTAGCATCGGCACACAGAAAACACGTATTCCAGAAATCGTCCATATCCTTGCATAACGCACAATCAAGCCTGGGACCTCTGATCAGTGCTGTGGCCGCGGCACAGCTGCATGCTCTGGCCTTACTGGAGCTGCATCCGCTGTGCAGTGTGGAGGGTGGATGTGCTTGGGGAGCGAATGAGCCTATGTTACATAAGCTCTTCGAAGAACTACAGCCTGAAGACGGGAACGCACCGAAACATGCCCAGATCTGTTCCTCTGTGCAAATGTTATGGAAATCATTTTAACTGCGTAGGTTTGGGTCATGCTTATGCGCTTCATTCATGAGGGCCCGGCCTCTAACACAATAAGGGACATATCCCAAATGCATTTGTGGTCTGCAGGGCGACCCTGTCTGGGGTCCTGCTAGCTGAGGGGGAGCACATGAGGACCCAAAGTCTGAAGCATAGGCGGCATTTTTCAGCTCCAAAGGGCTGTACACGGTCAAACGGAAAATGCTGTAAGAAGCGGAAGCAGGTGGTCTTGCCCGTTGCTTGCCGCCAGGTCTTCTGGCAGATCCCCACGATCGTTCGCAAGCAATTGGGCACCAAAGTCTAAAAAAAGTTCTACCAACTCCCCATCTCCGACCATCGCTGCAGCACCCAGCGGCGTGATGCCAGGTAGGCATGTCACTCGCTTGGCCGCAACCGAGCCGGAACCAAAGCCTATAAGGCCGGCATGGGCACGAGCTGCGAGAGCCAGAAGCCGATATTTGCCCGTCGGGCATGCGCGCATGTTTATGTCCGCGCGGCTTGTGAGGAGTAATCGAGCCGTGTTGCCTGAATGCCGGTAGTTGTGCCGAGAGAAGCCCGCAACACCATGTAACGGACCGTAGCCAACACCAAAGGGCTCAGGATTAGGATCACAATGAGCTTCAAGCATGGCAGCAACCGTGTCAGTGTCTGCGGAAGAAGCAGCTCCAGTCAGCGGTGCTAAGCCCAGCGGAAGGCAAGTGGAGTGGAGGTCAGCCTTGGCCTCAACCAAGACCTTCACTTGCTGTGCGGACCGAACGTAGAAGGCGCAGTTCAGCCCGCTACGGTCTCGTGCATTCACGTCCGCCCGAAGCTCGAGCAGAGTTTTGAGGACGTCTGCCTGCTGATGAGACTTGGCAGCAACCAGGAGCAATGTCTGACTATCGTAGAAGCCCAGGTCACTGAGACCAGAAACTCCTGGGTTGCCGTTAAGGGACCTAAAGCAAGTTACCATGACCTGGATCTAGAGCCTATAGGCAAAACTCATATTATTGTCTTCTATGACAATGACTACTTCAGGGACATTCCCAGACAGCAGCCCAGACTCTGTAGTTAACGTCCGCCTTGCGACGTATGAGCCGGGCCAGCATGTGGGTATCCCCTGCTAGCACGGCACATAAGGCCCCATTGACAGATGAGTCCAAAAGAGCATCTTGGAAGCTAGGGAAGCAGAAATTCTCCAAGAAACCCACCTGGGTTGTTCTTTCAGCCATGTTTGAAGAGACCCTTGCCAGTATGTTGACTAGTGCAAGGCGAAAAGTGCGCAGAAAGTGGCTGTTGCTTGGCACGGATGACAGGAGCAGCTTAGTCAGTGCTGTCAGTACTGGAGGGTTAATGACTAATGCTAATGCTATCCTCCCCATTCCCTACACACCATAGCATAATATAGTAATATTCTAATATATCAGTTTTTAAAATCTAGTATAGAAAGGTGCTAGAGCAACCCAGCAACCAGGTCCCAGGGCAGGCTTGGCCGACCCAGGAGCTTGGCGCGGTATGCCACATAGAAACCTGATTGTCATTGAATTTGGGTACTGCCCCCACTCTGTTACAGTTGCATCATATTTATAATATAGTTATACATAGCCCTTAATATGACCCCTAATATAGACTGTCACAGGGTGGGGGCAGTAATACTAAGGATTAAAGGATTTGGGGTCTATAATGGGGTCCCCCTATTTTTGGAAACTACCATTTAGAGCAGGGAAGAATTCAAGTCATCCATGAGCCTGTCCATGTCTGCAAGTTGGATCGCTCCAACTCCAACTGGTTCGGGTAACTAAGCAGGTGTCAACTAAGCGGATACCACCTCAATGCACTCTTCAGCGGGCTCATGTCGAATGGGTTCAGATGCTGGTTCAGCTGAATTGTCCTAACTGTCCGCGCTAATTTCCGAGCTGCAAGTCACCCAGCCCTGGAACCTTTCATAGCAGAATGAACTCCAAAAGCTTCTTCAGGACTATCCAAGAAACGGTAAAGGCTTACGGGGCCTTCTACTGACAGGTGCCGTATCTTGTTGTCCACAGCCACCTCACCCAGCTTGACAACAACGGCCCGGTCACTTTCGACTGTAAATTCTCCAGCGGAAATGGTATTATGCTGCCAGTCCAATGGAAACATAAACTCAGCCTCAACTGCGGAATGTATGACAATAACGCTGGTGTCTGGCTTGTTGGAGAGCAGGTGACAAAATAATTCTGCTCTGCACCATCCGCGGGATAACCACGACGAATAATTGCAGCGTGTGCCTCGCGTGGTGTGCTGCACGTCTGGCACGAGGGCCACAAACAGGTTTGACACTTCCACATACGCCGGAATGCTTTGGACAGCAAGGGCAGCATGAGATCGCATCACATCTTCATTCACTCCTTCATGTCTTGCTGTTATTTGTGGAATGGCAAACCAATCCAGGAAGATAAACCCGTCTTGGACATCTTTCCTTGTCGTGGGGGGAAGCTGCAGTCTCGGCCTTCCCTTGATCAATGAAATGAGGTCCCCTTCGATGTGCAGGGACCCGTCAATGATGCCACGCAAGCTGCTGCGGAGAACAGCCAACTGCTGCCCTCGCGGGTCTGGATGCGAGGCCCCAAGCCACTGGTGAGACACGAAAATTATGAACATTCCTGCAGGGGAATCTCTCTTTCCTAGTCCCTCGTCCTTACTCTTGGGAGGATGTCCAAAAAAAGGCTTGTGAGGGCATGGGTTCATCAGAAGATTTTTTGGGGTGGCTGGTTAGTAGGTTCGCAGCTGATCGAGATCCACCAGGCCGCTGAGGGAAGGTGCTGCATTCCCGACTTTCTACCACCCCAGTAGCCTGGATACCACTGATAGAGCAAGCCCTGCTGCTCAAGCACTCGATGAGGCATGGGAGCGCCTTCCATTTTTAGGAAGTCGGAAACCTGCAGCGAGCTTAGCTGCACAACTTGCAAAGCAGCCCCTCAACCCACTGCATCTCTAGGAATGCCCTCGCTACTCTGCAAAGTTTGCTTTGGTGCCTCTGTGGCTTTTCACAATTGGCATGCGAGCCTTCACCACATACATTGGGAACTGTCGCTCGTGGACTGGCTGCGGGTTTGCAACTCCAACAGATGGGTAGCACTGATTGCCCAGCAGCGCATTGCCCATGGCTCTCACGGCCACAGGCCGGTTGGTCTAACGGAAATTTCCGAACACGAGCACCAGAGTTCACTACGCGCGGGAATGAGACCCAGCACCTTCTACAGAGTGGCTAATTTTCAGCTCCCAGGCTAGTCCGGGTTGATGCGCCCAACTGATCACCCTTCCCCTTCCCCAGCGCGACACCGTGCAAAGGGCAAAATTGCTGCAGTGTTCCACGAGCAGGCTCGAAAACCTTCAACCTTCACAGGCCGCATGTCCGATTGTTAAAGCGACATGCGCTTGCCATTCCACACTTCGCAGACAAGACAAAAGCGGCCGTCTTCAAACGACCAGATGAATCACTAATGCTTGCCCACAAGCTGAGATCTTAGCTTAGCATCGCAATGACGCTCGGCGGGTAGCTGCTGGACTTCAGCGCAGAAGCTATCTCCTACCGAGTGAAGGGCACAGGGTTTTAGAGAAGATTGGTTCATGCCTGCGCATGCCTACTTCCGGGTCGAGTCTTGTATGTCTTGTCGGGAAAGGTTACGGCTAAGATTACACCTATCAATATCTCTCAGCAACAATGCCGTCACCGGCAGCGGCGCTTTGGTCCTTGCAGATCTTGCCCACAGCAGGTCCCTGCATGCTCCAGGCTCAAATTGTCCCGAGGCTGCATTTGGCATCACCCCTTGCTACATTTTTGGTCATGGCACAAAGGAGGCTGCAGGAAAACCAGGATGCACTGCCGAATCCGAGCGCCACCTTAGCCTTCTTTGCCGCTGCACCGATGGAAGAAGCTGCAGGACGCTTGGAAGGGGCCTGGCATGGCAAGGGCTGAGAAATCGCCATTGGCCCCAACTCTGGCCGCAAGCATTTTATCTCACAGCACATCCTACAAGACGTCAATCCTGGGCTCCGCGCCATGTTTGTGCACCTAAGCTGCGCGCCGTGCTAACCCACTCCGTGTCATAGGAGATACAGTGGTACAGAATTCAGAAGGAGGGGACAAGCGAAAGAACCACACCGTCACAAATCAAATCACTTGGAGCAATGAGCCCTGCACAAAGAAACGCAGAAGAGCGCAGGTTAGAGGCGGCTGCCGCGTGTTAGCTTGAGCCAAGGATATGCGCAACAGGCAGCGCTCTGCGGCAATGCACTCATCAGCAAAGGGTGGAACGAATTTGAGAGCAGCGTAAGCTTGCACACATGAATTTTCACGGACTCACCACTCAAGTCTTCAAGTAGTACCACGCGTAAGTCCGTGACATGTCCCAAACGACAAAACGCGTGGTGGTCATCCAGTCTGCCTTGCTGCGCCATTTTGATGAAACCGTTCGTTGCCTGTTTCGCAGGCAGTCTTCGTGAAACTGCAGGTTGCATCTCTCCCAGGAACATCCCTAGGCTGGGCTCTCCAGCACATATGCACTCTACATAGGAGAGATGACGGACTTTCGATTCGCTGCTCCACTAGAGGCCTTTGAGCGGGATGCGTCACGCAGGCCCGCGCTGTAGCAGTGGTGAAACTAGAAATACACTTGGCAATGCCAACAACTGCATACTTGTAATAAAGGCAGGTCTGACCCGGCAACTTCATTCGCAACGTCGCTAGCTGGTCGATGAAGGTGGCTAGGGATCCGTGAATAATCAACGCTTCAATTCAAACAAATCACGAAAGCATCAGGTCCTTGGCAACAGCAACACTTGTGACGCATCACCTCGCAAAAGGATGACACAAAGCTAGGCGGCCGACCACAGCCAGGATGCCTTTTCCAAGAACACCTACGCCATGCAAATCTTACACGACATTTGCTGACTGGAGAGCGTGCAAATCTGGTAAACAAAGGAGAGGCAGCCCGATCAGGATAGTAACTTTCCACAATGCTTTCTGGAAATCCCAAAATAATAAGGACTAGAGTGAGTAGAGTATATTTCGGTCTATCTATACATATGTATATGTATATATGGGGTCCCTTCTATTAGGACAAAATCAATGAAATCGACAACTTGACAGCCAGCCTTGCCCATGAGGACAAGGTCGGGCTCGCGCCGCGTGCGTCCCGAGGCAAGGATCAGAGCCGGGTATACTGCCAACACGGACCTCAAACTGGGTTGTTGTTAAGGAACTTGACTTAAGTTACCTTAACGGCACTAGCAAAATGAGCACCAAAGGATTTGTGCTCCACCCGTCAGCATCCTGTGGACACGCCCCGAACTCCAGTGAGGCAGTGCTGCCACCACCGGTGGCAAAGTCTTTCAAGTTGGAGCTGAGAATAGCGAAGCTCATGGTCGACTACAACCCATCTCAAGACCAATTGCAGCGGCTGCTTCTGCATCACAGCTAGGCTAGGATGCATCTGAAGGAACAGTGATCAGCATGTGTACCTGTGTCAAGCTACGTGCTATACTGGCAGCTGGCCAAATGCCCAGACGATGCCGTCCTTGTGTGCTGAGGGCCCTTCGGAAGACACAGCACAGGCAGCAGGATGGAAATCGCACCCAAGCGGGAAAAAATACCTGGCATGCAGGGTCTTTTGCACCACCTGCATACCCTGGCACTTGCAGGTGTTCAGACTCATGATGGAGCAAATTTGCGGAAACGTGCAGAAACGTTTGGCTGCTAGTATGGAATGGACCCCCTCTCCCTGATTGAGACCCACCCTGACCTAAAATTGAACCTTCCATAACATCCAGGTTTTGCACAAATATTACTTGTAGTAGATTCCCGTGGCCGCAGGAGGGAAACATAACACGAGTTCCGAGTGACGGAGCTGGCTCGGTGCCAACATGATGCCACACCTCAGACAGCAAGTCCCCAAGGGCTGGGAGGCAGACATCCAAAGCTTGGGGCTGGCAGTCATGGGAAAATTGCACATCCTATCAAAGATGATGTTATGACCATGACAGGCAGTTAGACAGCACAGTGTGAACAGAAGTAGCAGAGCTGCAGGAAACTCAGTGAAAGGCGACAAGACATAATGCTAGCGAAAGCAGCCAACTTGGAGGCCGGCAGCATAAGCTTGATAGAGTTGGAGACCAAATTCTTTGCGACTAAGTGGATGGATCGCTGGATCGCGGCCTTCCATGCTTCTGGAGCCGAGCAGTTTGGCGATGCGTGGTGTGCTCTTGAGTACGTAGAGGTGCGAACTACCACATTTGCCAGTCCTTGTGGTCTTGCATGTTCTACTTGCAACTGTTGGTGCGACAACCCCGAGAACATCTATCTTCTGCACTGCTCTACACTACCGGTCTCAGGAACAATTGACCTGGACACTTCCACTAGGAGCAAGGAAAACCTGTGCGGGATCTCAACCTTGCTAGAGCCGTCGCAGCCTTTATATGAGCCCCTGCCTCCGGTGTATCATCATCCTTCGGATGCAAGTCGCTCGCCTGTGAAACAGAGCAAGTGGTGACGTGCAAGCTGCGAAGTCATGCAGAAAACGAGCTTACCGCAGTTTCAATCATTAAGCAGGCCAGGGGTTTCGAAGGAATTCCATGAGGCGCCCGGATATAAAGCGCGCCTGAGACAGGCCGTCAGCGCCGGGTCTTCCAGCCTTACAATTTGCAGGCAACAAGCGCTCGACTTAGAAAGGCGATCATGCAACCTGCTGAAGATCGCCCGCGCCTGCGGGCTAGATGTCGGTTGCTGATGGTGAGCGCTCCTTGCACAACACTAAAAGATTTGTAGCTGGTCATGCTCGTCTCTGCTGAGCAACTTTGGCAGGCATGTGACATACAGTACCATGTGACTGGATACACATTGCGGTCAAGACACCCAGCAGGAGGGTCCGAACCTGCCAACAAGACACGTGAAGCTTCAAAGCTGATGCTAACGATCTGCCAAAAAGCCGTGCATTCTTGGCAATGCTCAGTTTTCGTTGAGACATCGCCCAGGGTGTCTAGTATACGTACTGGACGGGTCGGCAAGACAGGCTCTGGCTGAAATGATCATTGACAATAATGACAGTCAAGCTTGCTGTATCGCCAGCTGAAGATCCGTCCTGGCTGCTCGCTTTGCTTTCTGCCTCGCTTTGGTTTCTGAAGGTTATTTCGGCTATCTTTTGTAGTGCAGCTTCGTGCAGGCCCAACCTTCTGCAATCGCTCTCAGGCCTCCCGACAGCGGCCGAACGAGGACTAGCAATAACTTAGCCAAGATGAAGAGAAAGACAATTACGTCTGCAGAACCATAGTGGTTTGGCATAACCCACATAAAGAGAAGGATAATAAGATTGTCATATTCCATCATATTCCTAGGCGGCACGCTCGAGCGCGTGAACGACGAGCCTTCGGTTGGGGCCACAGGGCGGCTCTCGGAAAGCAAGCCTCTCCAAGCAAGCTGCAACATGTCGCTTCTATCAACAGCCAGTTGTAATGCGGCTCGCCCAGTTTACGGGGTAATGCATATTCAGCAGCTTGTAAAGACCTCCGTCTAAGAAGATGCCGCTGATAGTGGTTGCTTCCTTCCGCCTTGCATCCAAAAGCACTCGGCTTTGCCAAGGTGAATTGTTATACACATCCTATCAGCACCTTTCCCCAATTGTACCAAGCTCTGCATAGGTCAAAGAGTACTAAGCTACACACCGTATGAGCCGAACATCAACAAATAAACTGCAAGCACTCGGGCAGCTCCTTCCGGCATTCCCGGCACGACGAAGTCATAGCCTGCCAAGAACTATGGCCCTCCACCAAGCTTCAAGTGGGCCAGGGTGCGACGAAACGCTTGCAAATGCTGGATGGGTGTGGACATTGGCCTCTCAGCCCGAGAGGCTTGCAAGGATCTTGAATGTACTAATCACCGTCATGACCGGCCATAGCAACGGGCGAACAGACCTTGTGTTGCCTTCCAGATCCTCAGGCACCGGCCAATGTGGAAGGCAGGCTCTACCGCGTAGCTCAAGAAAACCGTCATGATCGTCAACTCCCAAGGCCCAAAGGACCACCTGGGCCCAGCAAGCGATGATGTCAATGGGTTCAGGTGGCTCTTACGACACCTACTGGAACATGCATGCAGCAATGCAAGATCGCACTGCTGCTTCCCGGCACCTTCTTATGGACCAATGCAACTTACGAGAGATGGGGTCGCATCTCAGCGTCCTGGGATCTGAGCCCGCAAAGGCAGAAGAAGAAGAACACAATGAAGGTGCACACTCCAAACGCCACGAGGAGCCTGGCTTCATATGCATGCGCGCCAGCCGTAGCCTTCTGCCGCAAGCAAATCCATCTTGGGGACCGGCAGGCCGATCACCAACTCCAAATCCAGCGTGATGAGTATTCCAACGGCTGAGACAACCAAGATGACATTGATGAGCACCTTTCAGCCAAACAGCTGGCAGCCCGCCCTGCCAAATCCCTCTCCTAACATGAGACACCGAGGACAGGTAGCGAATCCGAGCGCAAGCACGAAGCCCCTTCAGGACCCTGTCTACCCCTTGAGGCTATAACTTGGAAGATCTTGGAAGGCCTTCCTCCTCAAAACCTTCTGCCGGCATGCCTCCCATGCGCTATTGAGAGCTTCCGAGAGAGCTTCCATGTCCACCCAAGCCTGCTCCAACTGTTGCTGCAACCGCCAGCCAAAAGTCAACAGCAAACTCAAAATGCCACTGGAAACAGATGGCTGCATTGCTTGCATCTCAATTTCTCAGTAGGCTCCCTCAATGGCTTGGCAAAAACCCTCTGAGCTGGTAAATCAACTGTTCACCCATGGCCTGGCAGGTGACCTCGGTCACAACTTTCGCAAAAGTCTTGAACATGTCTTGGATTACGACCGTACAGGTAGTTACAGTTTTTTCAATTGCTGAGAGTGGTTGGCAGCCCAAAGACACTTTCTCCATAAACAGCTGCCTACTCCAACAATCTTCTGGAAGCAAAGCTACCATGGCCCGTAGTTACCCCCTCATTCTTCAAGTGACTTACAGTTTACGCTGCCAGCGTATTGCATGAGGTTCGACAGCCAACCCGCAAGGGTTCTGCCTGTGCTCATCTGCTGCTAGACGTTTGCTGTATGGAAGCTGGCAGGTCCTTTCTTTGAAGATGTCGCCAGCTCGCGTGAGACATGGTTTGGACAACGCCGCTACAAGGTACAAAGTGATCTACGAAAACAAAGGCTGCAAAGAGGTGACACATCTACACTCTACACCATGAGTACGTCCACTACGTGCTGAATGTTGCAAGGCTTTGCAACACATTCGGATGCTGATTCGCAGCTGCCAGGTCTTCTGGCAAATCGCCTCGATCATTTGCCAAGCGCTCTGCCCCAAGATCGAGAAGCAGGTTGGCTACGCTCTCCGCACCTACCAGGGCGGCCATACCCAAGGGCGTAATACCTGGCATGCTGGCAAAAACCCGCGTCATCAAAGAGGCAGCCTCCAAGCCAGTGAGGGCACATTCTGCTCGGGCTGTTGCACACAACCAGAAAAACCTGTTCTGTGGCCGAGCTCTACTGTTTATGTCTGCCCTGTGGGAAATCAACATGCTCACGATTTCTGTTGCATACCTGTTGCTCCGGGAGAAAAAAGCTATACCATGGAGGGGGCCATAGCCAAGGCCTCGTAGAGGCGGATTCGCCTCACATCGAGCTGCAAGCATTGCAGCCACAGTCTCAGCAGACGCGAAGGATGCAACGCCTGTAAGCGGACACAGTTCCATCGGGCCTCCTCCTCTGTGCAGGTCTGCCCTGGCCGCCAATATTGTGCGAACTTGTTCAGGCGATCGCATCATGAAAGCCGTGCTTGCTCCGTTTCGAGCGCGTGCATTCACGTCACCGCGGAGATCAATGAGCGCTGTCAGCAATTCAGCAGACTGATATGATTTGGCTGCTGCCATTAACACAGTCTGACTGTCGAAGTATCCAAAGTGGTCCAGTCCATGAAGTGCGAAGTTCACATCTGCCCTCAACTTGACCAAGCGACGTAGAAGCTTCACATCGCCTGCAAAGACTGCGCACATGAGGCCGTTCATGCTACTGCGATCCTTCGCAGCAACTTCCAGATTGGAAAACCGAAACTGTTCAAGGAAATCCTCATCATCCCACGCTGCGTCACCCTGCCCCAACAGTTGCGAGCGGCTTGCTAGGCAAAAACGATATGAGCTTCATGGACTTTCTGTGGACAGATGCTTTATCTTGTTGCGCACAGCGATCTCGCCCAAGTTGATGACCGTGGCGCGGTCAGCTTCAACAGTAAACTCACCGTCCGCAACAGCATTATGCTGCCAGTTCAAGGGAAACATGTATTCCGCCTCCTTGGCAGAATACACCAAAACCAGGCTGGTGTCGAGCTTGTTTGAAAGTACATGGCACCAAAGTTCAGCTCTGCACCATCCTGTTAAGGCCACGGGGGAATACGGGGAACTAGAAAATTTGTAAGGTGTTTCCCGTTCATGGTAAGGTCTTAGGTGGTCTAGCTTTTGGAGTCCCATCTTGATTTGTTGAATCAATTTCACTCCTCGCGAAAGCCATGAGACGTAGTTGCAGTGAGCGCCTGTCACAGCGTGCGTCAGCTCTGGCACCAATGCAATGAAAAGGTTTGAGACCTCCACATATGCAGGGATGCTTTGCACAGCTAGCGCCGCATCCGACCGTGTGACATCTTCATTGACTCCAGCCAGCCGTGCCGTAATCTGTGGTATTGAAAACCAATCCAAAAACAGATAGCCGTTGGCAATTTTGTCCCGGGTATCGGCCGACAAGGGCACGACCCTCTGGTTCATCAAGGTGACTGGATCCGCCTCAATTTTAAGACTTCCGTCCATTATGCCTCGCAGGCTTGCTCGAAGGACGGCGCACTGCTGGCCCTGGGGGTCTGGATGTGCTGTCCCCAGCCACTGGTGAGAGATGAAGGTGACAAACATGCCTGGCTGCCAGATGTGGAGCTGGCTCTTTTGCCGCAAGCAATCATGCGGCTCTGGAACCCCCTCCATCTGCAAGAAATTGGAAACCTGGCAGCGGCCGTGAGGTGTGCAAACGTAGGTGCCAGTTACTAGTTACTAGCCCGTGCCTTGCACATGCACAACCCTGCAAGCAGGTCCCCTGCATGCGGTGGCAAAGGTCCATACATGCGAAGCCTGTAATGACAAAACACTATCAAACTGACTAACCCGTGAGCTTAAGCTCATGAAAGTCTGCATGGCCGATTACACGGCCTTTTCTTTAGTCTTCGCTCCTACATCATGTTTGGGGACTTGCTTCCTACTCCTTCGGCCTAGTTGACAGAAGGATCCTTCAGCCAACTTGCAATGAGGAGCTGAGATAAAGCAAGCTGTCGTCACCAATTGAAAAGTTTGATCTTACAGGTGGCCTCTGCCTAAGGCCTGATCTGCACAAGCGCCGAAATGACCCATGAATAGATCCATGACAGGGGGCCATGTTATACAACAACCATGATCTGAGCTCTTTCACGAGTGTAAGTAGGTTACGCCGGAAAGCCTTGACCACATACATCGGAAAAAGCAGCGGGTGGACCAACTGCGTGTCACGTTTCTCATCATCCAGGCAGCAGAGTGAGTTGCCCATGGCCTGCAAGCCTCGAGAACCAACAAACATACCCTCCATTAAAGCCCAAACAGCATTGACATACGGCGGGCTTGACAACACAAGAAACATGTAGCTACAGCGCATCCACGCTTGTGCAAGCTGCTTGTCGGGAGGCCCGGTCTTGCTGAAACAAGGGTTTGCCGAGATAAGGGAAGGCCTAGGTCCGCATCGCGCGTGCATCAAAACTATCGGGGCAGCAGGAGCACACTGTGCTGTGCTACGCTGCTACACACAAAAAAGCGCAAGGTTATCGATGAGATGGAAGTGCTGGTTGGCAGAAGCTAAGGCCTCAGGCAAATCCCCGCGCTCATTCGCAGCAGGCACAGCGTCATGCTGGAGAAGGACCTCGATCATCGTCTCACTGCCAACAAAAGCGGCAGCACCAAGTGGAGTAAGCCCAGGGAGGCTCGCAAACGCTCGTGAGATCATGGGGCAAGCTTCGAAACCAGTGACAGCACACTGTGAGCGGGCAAAGGCACACATCCAGTAGTACGTGCTCTGTGGCTGAGCCCGAGCGTTTGGATCCGCAGCATAGGCCAAAAGCAGTCTCGCTGTGGCTTCTGAGCTTCTGTTGCTTCGAGAAAACAGAACAACGCCATGCACAGGACCATAGCCGATGCCTTGTAGATCTGGGTTTGGGTTGCACCGTGCAGCCAGCATGGCCGCGACTGTCTCTGTTGTCGCGAAGGAAGCTACTCCTGTCAGCGGTGTCAGCCCCAGGGGAGAGCCCGCAGTGTGCAGGTCAGCCTGCGCCTTTAGAATCACCTGCACTTGCTCAGGCGATCGCATCATGTACGCCGGGCTCGTTCCGTTTCGGGCGTGTGCATTCACATCACCGCGGAGATCAATGAGCGCTGACAGAACTTCAGCAGGCTGATGCGACTTGGCGGCTGCCATCAACACCGTTTGGCTGTCAAAGTACCCGAAATCACCCAAGCCATGAAGTCTGAAGTTGACGTCTGCCCTCAGCTGGACCAAGCGACGTAGAAGCTTCACATCGCCTGCAAAGACTGCGCACATGAGACCGTTCATGCAACTGCTATCCTTCGCGGCAACTTCCAGATTAGGAAACCGAAACTGTTCAAGGAAATCGCCGTCATCCCACGCCACGTTGCCCTGTCCTAACAGTTGCGAGCGAATCGCCAGGTAGAATCGATATGAGCTTAATGGACCTTGAAACGATAAGTGTTCAATCTTACTCTGGACAGCAACCTCGCCCAGCTTGATAACAGCTGCCCGGTCAGCTTCAACAGTGAACTTACCATCTGCAATTGTATGGCGCTGCCAGTCCAGAGGTGACATGAACTCGACCTCTTGCGCAGAGTAGATCACGACGAGGCTGGTGTTGAGCTTATTTGACAGGACGTGGCACCACAATTCTGCTCTGCACCATCCTCTCAGCTTGAAAATCTGAACTCTGACACGAATGACATCATCTGTAGCTGGTGCGTCTTGCTATGCCATCAAGACAAAGCGAATGAAATTCATGAGGCAACGCTTGGCATACAACTTGTGAATCTCTTCTTCAAACCACAAGGCAAACCATAGTCCCTGCACAAACTGGTGAGCTTCTTTGAACCATGGCAAAGGTCATCCATAGCATTCAGTAATTCATGACTTGAAGGAACGGAAACCGCTCAATCTACTTGAACATTGATGGACTAAATTGCTTGTGTTGAGCTTTGTGTCTTCTTGAATGCACCTCCCGCCTCGCGAAAGCCATGAGACGTAGTTGCAGTGAGCGCCCGTCACGGCGTGCGTCAGCTCTGGCACCAATGCAATGAAAAGGTTTGAGACCTCCACATATGCAGGGATGCTTTGCACAGCCAGCGCCGCATCCGACCGTGTGACATCTTCATTGACTCCAGCCAGCCGTGCCGTAATCTGTGGTATTGAAAACCAATCCAAAAACAGATAGCCGTTGGCGATTTGTTGGCGGATGTCTGCTGAGAGCGTAGGCGGCGCGCGATTGATCAATGTCGCAGGATCTGTCTGCACCTCAAGGCTTCCACTCACGATGCCTCGAAGAGCCCTGCGGAGAACTGTGCACTGCTTGCCTTGTGGGTCTGGATGGGACGTCCCAAGCCATTGGTGCGAAACAAAGATAACAAACATGCCCGGATGCCAGTGCTGCAGCAAGCCCTTCTCCTGCCAGGATGGGCAGGTTTATTTCTGCTGGGGTTGTTCTAAAGGTTTGCTGGGACGCTTTCTAAATCTGTCGTCCTTCAAAAAACCATGTGCCGCGGGAGACCCCTCCATCCGCATGAAGTGCGAGACCTGAACAGGCGTACCCAGCCACTCTCTGCACATTGGGAAGGCCCACAAATGGTGCGTAGAATCGGCTCAAGGTCTACGCAGGTCTACTACGTTGCTACGCTACATCAATCATCGTCATTTCATGTCTAAGTCAGGGCATGGAGGAGGACAATGGACGCGACGATGGTCTTCACTGCTGTTCTCAGCATGTCAGCAGCTTTGTTGCTGCTGTCTTTCCCCGTGGCCCAGTTCCCTCTTCAAAGGGCATCTTGAGTACTGCACTACTTGACTGCGTACTACCATGCCGGAAATGTTGATGGCATCTTGAGCCCTTGAACAAGACCTCAATGAAACAGGGATCCCCAGTGCCCCAAAATGATGGTTCGTAGTTTGCTGAGGTGCCCTGATGGTAGTACCGCCACGGTAGGTTGCCAAGGGTTTCAGATAGCTTCAGGCAGCTCAGTATATACTAAGAGTTCTGGACCACACGTGTGACACCACAAACTCAAGCAGGCGCCTTAACCACGCACATAGGGAAAAGCATGTCGTGCACAGGCTGCATCTCCAGCCCAGTCTCGTCAGCGCAGCAGAAATGATTTCCCATGGCGTGACAGGCCAAGGCATCCAAAATTGAAGGATGTACTTCAAAAATATAATGAAGACGCAGTTCGTAAACCCGTGGGAGGTCTGCCGGGCTGTGTTCACTGCTTGCGAAGGTTAGACTTGCATGTTGCTGCAACGCAGTCTCTCTCCTGCCTGTAGTGTAGTGGATTCAAAAAGGCTGCTGCTCAATCGGAGTGGGGCGACATGTAACATTTGGCACACCCTTCCTCGATAATAACACCCACTCAATAACCTCAATGGAACTAAGGGTAAGGGATAGGACAATACCCTGCTGCGGTTTCTTTCAAGACTCATCTTCTCAATTACGGTGAACCTTCATGCCCCAGCCGCGTGACGAAAGTCCTCGCCCACGTCCCAAAAACACACAAAAACCCGACTCCCAGACTAGAGATTCACCTGCTGCAAGACGTACACCTTTCTGCAACAGGCTTCCAGGGAAAATCATGCGATGCACTGTCACTGAAACACACAACCTGGGCCTGGGCCTGCATTTAGGCATGCACCTTCCCACGCGCATCTCCTTCTTTGCTGGCATTGGACTTTGGAGGCATGATGAGGTTACAAGGACGGTGGGATGTTTGGTGTCAAGAATCCAAAATGTCTCGTGCGGTTCACGCTTTTGGCCTGCACTCTTCATGCGACGTTCATTGACACCAGCTAGCAGGCATGTCGTCAGGTGGGTGAAACCACCTGGACAGAAACGTTGTCCAGGTTCAACATACTGCTTCATGTTGAGAAAGTCGCCAGGATCGGGAGCAAACGGGTATGTCCATTCATGCTGGCCAGGTCCTCCGGCAAATCGCCGCGCTCGTTGTCAATCATCTCCGCTCCAAAATCCAAGAAAACCTTGACTAAGGCCTCATTTCCCATCAGGGCTGCTACGCTTAGCGGGGTGATGCCCGGAGCGCTCGCCTCAAATCTCGTCTGTGCAGGACAAGCTTGGTAACCCAACATGGCTACTTTCAGCTGAGAAGCACGACACTGTTGGCCGAATGGCCCCTGTGGCTTTGCTCTTGCATTTATGTTGGCACGTTGTTGAAGCAGAAGGTGCGCGGTGTTTATGGCATGCCTGTTGGAGCGAGATAAGAGAGCCATGGCGTGCAAAGGCCCGTACCTTACACCAATGGTCTCAAAGTCGAAAGTGGCGTCGCAACGAAACTCCAGCATTGCGGCGACGGTCTCCGTGCTAGCGAGGCCAGCAGGGCCGTTCAAGACCCAGCTTGCTTCCAGGTTTGCTTTAGCATCAGCCAATACCTTCACATGCCCTGGAGATCTAACCAGGTAGGCGCAAGCAATAGCGGACCTGGATCTTGCTTCCACGTCAGCTTTGAGCTCAATCAGTGAAGAAAGCACCTCAGGTTCTTGCCGAGACTTGGCAGCGGCCATTAGGACTGTCTGGGTGTCAAAGTAGCCAAGCTCACCCAGGCCTTTCAGTCTGAGGTTCACGTCAGCCCGATTCTCAGCCAGTAAGCGTATCATGGGCACGTCGCCTGCTAGAACGGCACTCAGAAGGCCATTCATCGGGCTTTCGTGCTCAGCCGCCTCCCTCAAGCTGTTGAACCTGAAGTGCAACAGAAATTCCTGGAGTGTGCGATCCTTTCTTTCCAGTCCAAGCAGGCGGGGTCGAAGTGCCAAGTAGAAGCGAAGATGACTGAGAGGACCATGGTCTGACAAATGCTGGATCTTGCTCATAACAGCCATGTCACCTAACTTCACGACTGTGGAGCGGTCACTCTCCACTGTGAAGTCACCCTCGGCAATGAGATTGTGCTGCCAGTCCATCGGAAACATGTACTCCGCTTCTGCCGAGGAATAAATTACAATAACACTTGTGTCAGGCTTGTTAGATAACAGGTGACACCATAATTCTGCTCTGCACCATCCCCTTGACAGCCACGACACATAGTTGCAAGACAAACCAGTTTCGGCATGTACTTGCTCCGGAACAAGGGCGATGAACAGGTTTGAGACCTCAACGTAAGCAGGGATGCTGCGGACTGCGAGTGCAGCGTCAGACTTTGTAGCTTCCTCGTTCACGCCCTCCGCTCGCGCTGTGATCTGTGGAATAGCATACCAGTCAAAGAATAAGAAGCCGGACGCAATGTCTTGTCTTGTCCGTCGTGACATGGCTTTTTCGTTGAATCCACGCGAGATGAAATCTACGCGTACATCCAGGGAGCCGTCGATCATGCCTTGCAAGCCATTACGAAGCACGGCAACTTGTCGCCCACTCGGATCGGGATGCGAAGAACTCAACCACTGATGAGAAACAAAAATCACAAACATCCCGGCTTGCCATTCATGGAGCAGGTTACGCTGCTTCAGCATATCATGGGCTTCAGGTTGCCCCTCCATAGTGAGGAAGTCGGACACCTATACACTCTGCAGCATGTCAAAACATCATCGGTTTCGTTGCTACTGCTCAGAGACAAGCTACGTCTTCACATGGATCACCTTAAAACATATTTTGGTCTGTAGGGATTCACTGCCAGGCTTCCTACTAAAGAATCCTCGCTACTCTTGCCGCACCATTGCCAAGCCCTGCAGCAAACTTGTATGTGTTGGGATTGCCAGATATCATGTGAGCACAGGCCTTCATGACATAAAGTGGGAACAGGCACTCGTGCAATCTGCAGTCGCTTCCGGAGCACAAAGCGCGCTCCCCATGGCAAGGACTATGTCGCCTAGCAGCTGCTTGCGTGTCTACCTCCACATGCCAAGGGCATTATGGACAAGCACCGGGCTCGGAAGCAAGCCAAAACGCACGATCATCCCCTGTAGGCTCTTAACCCTCTTCAAAGTCTTATTTAGTCTTCGAAACCTTCACGGAAGCCAAGAGGGGCCCTACAAAAACTGTGGTTTAGGATTTAGGGTCCTTCCGAGAATCTGCCTGCAAGGAAATCATTCACACTGCAACCAGATTATGGGGTTACACAACAAATCAGGTCAACTGAATACAACCTGCTTAGACCGCAAACCTAGAGACATATGACCGTCTCCACCCGTTTGCATCACACTCCAAACGAGGCAAGCAGTGGAAGCAAGTGGTCATGTCCGTTTGCGACCGCCAGGTCTTCTGGCAGGTCGCCTCTCCCATTGGCAACTACATCTGCACCGCTTTCCCAGAAGAGTCTGGCCAGGGGTTCATCTCCTACAAGGGCTGCAGCCCCAAGCGGTGTTAGGCCCGGAAGACTTGCCATGGCTTTCACGACAATTGAGCAAGACCCCAACCCTCCCATGGAAGCACGAACCCGTGCGCCCAAGCAGAGAAGCTTGAAGACACCAGCAGGCTCTGCCTTAGAATTGACATCCGCACGACCTTCAAGGAGGACCTTTGCCACCTCGACTGAGGTGCTGCGACCTCGAGCCCGAGCCTGCAGGCATATGGCATGCAATGGGCCATACCCTATACCGAGCGGTGTGAAGTTAGCGTCGCACCTTGCGGCAAGCATGGTGGCAATGGTCTCTGGACAAGCCCAAACGGAAGCGCCTGCTATGGGTGTTAGGCCAAAGGGCGTGCCCGGTGAAAGAAGGTCTGCCCTGGCCGCCATCAGAACTTTCACTTGCCCAGGGGATCGGACAAGGGCAACGCAAGTGAGACCGATCCTTGTACTTGCGTTGACCTCTGCCCTCATCTCTATAAGTGTTGAAAGGATGTCTGGGTCTTGGCATGACTTCGTTGCTGCCATGAGTAACGTCTGACCATCAAAGTAGCCCATGTCTGACAGCCCTTGTAGCCGGTGATTTGGATCTGCCCTGTATTCCAGAAGAAGGCGTAGTATCTTTGCATCACTTGCAAAGATTGCACAAACCGTGGGGTTCATGCTGCTGTTGTCCTGGATTGCCTCATGAAGCTCCGGGAATCGGAAGTGGGACAGGAACAAGTTCAAGTCAAAGTCCGGGCTACTTTGGCCCAATAACTTTGGCCGCTGTGCCAAGTAGAAACGGTATAGGCTCAGCGGTCCCGCAGTCGACAAATACTTGATCTTGCTTTCTAAGGCCGTTTCACCCAGCTTGACAACTACGGCACGGTCTGCCTCTACAGTGAAGTTCCCCTCGGCTACAGTACTCTCTTGCCAATTCAAAGGGAACATGAATTCAACCTCTTTGGAGGAATACACCACGATCACACTCGTGTCTGGCTTATTGGAAAGGAGGTGGCACCACCATTCCGCCCTACCTTTGCACTTGTGACCGACCACACCCGACGAAATCTTTCAGGGGCAGCAGTATACATGAAAACATTAACCTGCAAAAAGAAGAAGAAAGAAGGTCAAAGTTCAAACCAGTTACACCATCCCCTCGAAAGCCACGAAGCATAGTTGCACACCAGGCCAGTGTCTGAATGTAACAGGCCCGGCACAAGGGCTATAAAAAGGCTTGCCACCTCCACATAGGCCGGGATGCTCTGGACAGCTAATGCAGCGTCTGTCTTAGTCGTCTCTTCGTTCATCCCCTCCACACGCGATGTTATCTGTGGGATGGCGTACCAATCCAGAAATATGTATCCATCTCCAACTGCCTGGCGAGTTGAAGCGGAGAGGGCCTTGCCAGCCGGTATGGAAACAGTATCGGGCTCCACATGGAGCGAGCCATCAATGACACCAAGCAGAGTGGCGCGAAGCACCGCAACTTGTTGGCCATGCGGGTCCGGATGTGTGAAGCTTAGCCACTGGTGAGAGACGAAAATCACGAACATGCCTCTTGCCAGGGGCACTCAGGGGGCTCGCGAAACGGCAACCCCAAGAAACCAGAAAAAGCAGGTAGCAAAATCTCATTCAAAAAAGTAAGTCCCTGCTTGGGCAAAGGGACCAGGTTGCCACTCGTGTAGCAATCCCTGAGCCTTCAGTACATGGTGTGGCTCTGGAGGTCCATTCATCCGACAGAAGTCGGACACCTGGAATCTAGGTTTTGCTTGGATTCAAACAGGGAGTTGATGCAGGCATCACACAAGCGATGCAAGATGATGCAGGTCGAATTTTTCTGGAGGTTCCCAAACCAAATATCAAACTATCCATGTTGCAAGCGTTGGACGAGTGCTTGCCTTCAGCTCAGCTTGCCCCCAAATCTGATGAAGCAAGATAAGCAAAAGCCAAGAGCATCAGCACAAACTTTTGACGGTGGCGAAGGCTTAAGCTCAGTACCAGTTCTTCCGCAGTCTCAGTACTAGCACTGATACTTGCATGGGTTCTGATACTCCGTAGTTAATCCCAATTCTTATGCCGGCCAATGGCCCCCGGACCATTTTAGCTCGCACGCCTTGACGACATACATTGGGAACAGGCATTGATGGACAGTCTCGGCACTGACGATGGCCGTGTCAGGAGGCGAACAGAGATGGCTTCCCATGGCTTCTGCGAACAGGAACCCGGCCGCTGACAGAATCTATGCATACGCCTAGATGCTCAGTGCAGTACATGATTCTGACTCTCACCGTTGCTACCGCTTTGTTTGCTGGCTTTGTCGCATGCATGACGCCCATGACCTGCGCAAGCAGCAACAAGAATTTGACAGCGACAGATGTGGCACCCAAATCATTGCAACTCCCACTGGAACAGTTTGCAGAGATCAGGCTGAGCATTTGCATCGAGGCCCATGCCCAAGCATTCGAAGCAGTGGCTGTGGCTTCCGCATTCAGGCCGTCGATCTGAAGATGTGGCAGGAGGTCCCCAGAATTTTGGCAGGAGGTTCACTAACAACACCAAGCGTGTCTTGTCGTCTCAGTAGCATCTCTACAGCTGCACAAGCAGGCGGGCAAAGCTGATTTGGCTTGGAGACTCGCTGACAGCTGGGGCAGCAGGCGTAGCTCAGCCAGCGAGTCCTCGCTTGTAGAGTGGCATCGGCCCCATCAGTTGGGATGACCTGAAAGGCCATTGCATGTACGGATACGATACTCCAATGGGATTGGATTCCAGGCTGGGGTCGAATTCTGACAGAGTTGAAACTGTTTGTTTGGATCATTCCAGTCCAAACACGTGACTGGATCGTGCAAGTCATCGACAAGGCTTGGAGACCGTGCCTGGAAAGTAAATACAGTTGCCGTCAGGTTGTTGGCCTCGTTCAGCCACATTGCCTGAGCCGCAGCGCCGCTCCGCACCCACCGAAAGCTACGAGTGCCCAGTGCGAGGCATCTCCGTGGTGATTTTACGAAATCAGGTGACCCAGACTTGACTCATGCTGGCGCCATGCTGGCGCCTGCCGCACTGGGCTCAAGGCGGAGGCAGCGGCAGGATAACTCACCAAGAACTCTTTCAGAGTGAGGTGGAAATCCAAAAAACCTTGGCCGTCGGAAGGCTTCTCCTTGATCCTTCCCTGGCCCATGAGGCTTGCAAAACTTGGTTCCGGTGTCATCAGCATGAAGAGAGCTTGGCTAACACGTGGTGACTGGGGAATGAAGGAATGGGGCCTGCTATAGGGATCCATTCTCCCTTGCATATGACCACGCGGGACGACTAAACATCTGAGTACGCAGCGATCCACAGGGAATTTCTGCCCTCGGCTTATGAGCCAATTGCCTGGGAGCAGCAGGTTGCCTTCCCAAAAAGCTTACAACAGCTTACAGTGTCATTTCTTCAGCAAGTGACAGCTAAAATAGGGTTCTGGGAAGTTCCTCCTCTGCGTGTAGAGCATTTGCCGAAATGGCTGCAGCACGGACGAGATCTGACTACGTCACGGAATTGGTAATGCGTATAGCTTCTTCGCAGGAAAGCTATACTGTGCGAATAATTAGCATTTGCTGAATCTGGGAACCCCAGGACCAATATCAGATTGCCTCTACTGTGCGGCTCTGGCTTATTTGAGGACACTGACACCGTCAAGTTGCTACGCGTGGTAAAAAAACATGGCACGTAAACCTGAAAGGCCTTCCAAAAGGCGCGAATCTTACATCAACCCCGCCATAAAACCTTGCAACCGTATGCGTCCATGTTTCATGACCTGGCCGAAAGACTCTGAACCGATGCCAAACCCACATTAGAGGGGACGGATTCCCGATGCTTTCTTAAGCACGTCCTTGCCCACACCTGGCAGGCAGAAGTTTTCTGCGGGACAGTACCTCTAAGAAAGGTAGCGGCGACTACAACCGATGTAACACGGCAATGCTCCGCAACAACTACCATCTTGAAGTTGAAGAATGGTGAAAGTATCTCATTATAAGCTCCAGAATGGCTCTGTGCTAGTTCAGTGGAAGCTGTTACCCAAAGGCGAGTTGCGGAAGTCCCGGATCCAGCAATTGGAGCTGAGAATGTTCAGCTCTGATGGCCTGAGGGGGGGCGAAGCAGATTTTCAAGACAAACAGGAGCATTGGGAAGCAAATCTTGTGTAGAGATCATCTCAGCGTCTAGGGAGTCTAGGGTTTGTGAAAAGATGGTGCGAGCTGATCGTGACAAACCTTGGGCTTTCAGGCATGCCCTTCACAATCCGGGAAGCTTTTGGTGTGGTTCAACCTAGTTTTGGCGGCAACTCTTCAGCTTCCTCAGCGATGGCATTGTAACAGGGGTACTTCATGGGGGAGGTAGTTGGGAATCTGCAGGAACTTGCTTGGGCCTTGGACTGAAAATGTTGGGAAGATTGAGTTTTCAGGTTCGCTCCCATGTAAGATGTTAGAGGATCCGGAACAGCATTAGGAGCCACAAGCTATTCTCACAGCCTCGCAAAAGAAAAAAGTGCGAAGTCTCATTGCTGATGCACACAAGCTACAAGGATCTGCAGCATAAGGCCCTGAACCCATGTAAGCATACATACATATACATGCACAAGTGTGTGTGCCTGTATTTGCTTGACCCCTTTCAACGCTGAACCATCTCAGGGCTTGACAGCTCGCTGCACACGCGCAGCATAGCTCGCTGCGACCAGGGGCTGGCCTCAGGCGGCGCAAGCGTGCAGCTTACAAAGGTTGTAATTAGTGGATTATGTGAGGATCATGTTGGGGCTTTTTTCTTGGGATGCTGTGGCCTTCCGTAGGTTCTGGAGGGGGGCAACAAGCTCACTGGCTCCTTCAAAAGCACAGCAAATTGCGACACTACTTACCTACTTGCTTTCATTGAGAAGCTCTAGCAAGCCTGAGGGCTCGGCAGGATCGAAAGTCCCGTCAAACACAGCTTGTGCCGTGCTGCTGAGCGTTGATCCTTCCTGGCTCTTGGCACTACCAGCAGAAGCGTTCAGCCCGAGGCAAGGGTTGGGCCATCAATTCGGTACACGCGCTCATTGTGAGCTCAAAAGTGCTGGACCTCCTCTTTGATGCCAAAAACTACGATGACCTCTTGACCTTGGCTCAAGGTCAGCAGCACAAACCCATGTTGGGCTTCTAGACATGTGAGCTGTGGCCTAAACCCTGTGAACCTTTTGTTCTTATTTGTTGTGCCATCGCGGACGCCAGTCGCAATACTGACACGCCCAAGGAATAGCTGACGCGGATGCATTTTTTATAAACTGTACTGACGTGAACTATCGCGGCTTGATTTCAGGCTATTAAACCTCGTTTCATTGACGTGGCCACAATGGGAACCTTTTTTTGACGAAGATGCAAAGCTCAGCAATCTGCTGTCGCAAAGACTATCGCCGTGGGAATGTTCATATGCTACTGGCGCGAACTATCGCGCACAACATGAAAGCTGACGCGACCAATCATCACTTTCATGTTTATAAAAATTCCTTCTGGGGGGTTTTGGCCGCTGCTCAATGGACAATTACACGGAACATTAAATGGGAACGTTAGGTCTGCTTAAAGGGGCATATAAGGACATTTATTTATGTAACCCCGCTAGTGCAAAATCAAATCGAGAAGAACTCACAAACGAAGAGAAAACAGCCGTAAACCCCAAACCCTGAACTCGGATTGCCTGACAAGTCTTGGTGTTCAAGTTGGCTCATGGGGGGGTCAAAATTTTGCGTTTAAGGTTTAGGGTTACTATTATAACGCCGAAACCCTAGCATACCCATATCATGGTAGCATACTTGCTAACTTGCAGTTCTTGACCCAGACCCCCTAAAGGATCCAAAAAATGGAACCCCTGAATAATCCCCTAGGTTCCCCAATGTAGTAATGGAGCCATTTTTGGGGGGTTGAATTTTCTTGGATCCTTTAAGGGGTCCAAGAAAAGGGAACCCCGATATAGACCCAAACATATACTATAGTCCTTATTATGGGGATCCCCAAAAAAGTAGCCCTATTTTTGAGAAACCCCAGAAAGACCTGAGGAGGTGTCTGGTCTGGTCTGGGCAACAGCAACTCTGACAGGGTTGGGTCCATCCACCGCCCAGTAATGGGTACCACAAGGGACTATTGTAGGCATATTAAGGCCCTTTTAACTCCGTATGAAGGAGCTATTACTATAGGGGGATTAGCCAAGGAGCAAGGACAATGCAATGGAAACTAAGATCTTCTTCCTAGGGAGTCCACGAACCCCAGAATACATATCTGGGGCCCAAAGGTCATAAATGATACCAATCTTGAGCTACTTGGATCCCGAAGGTTCGATGACCCCTGGACTAAGGTCGTCCTTACTAGGTCACCCTAGACCCCGACATAGCCTCCTGTAGGTCCCCCCCCAACCTAACTTTAGCTCTTAGGTCATGTAGGGGATCCTGATGCCTAAGCCCTAAACCCCTAACCTTAAACCTAAACCCAAAACCTAAACCCTAAACATAAACCCTGAGCCCTAAGCCCTAAAATCTACACCAAAGCCATAAACTGTGATGCCTCATGACATTTGCAATCTCGCGGCCTTCCTGCGGGCAAAAGCAATAGGTCAGCCTTCCCAAGGCCACCATGCCTGGTTTAGCTTTTAGGGTTATGTATTTTGGGTTTACGGCTCAGGGTTTTGGATTTCGTGTTTAGGGTTCAGGGTTTGGGGTTTAGGGTTTGGTATTTAGGGTTTAGGTTTGGAGTTTAGGATCCACGGTATAGATAGAGATACATATAGACAGATAGCTAAATAGATAGATAGAAGGATTCTATATAGATGAGCCCTACAGGGCTTGTATAGGGTTACCTGGACCTCACAGAACAATTGCCCAGAAAATTGGCCTTGAGCCCCAGCAGATATGGATATTCAGGTTAGTTATACGCCTAAACCCTGAGCCCTAAACTTGGAAATTCTATGTCAGCCCTGAACTGACGTCTACATAACACCGCCCAAGCCGCCAGAGCTTTCTGGGAAGTACCTGTGGGATTCCAAACATCTGAGCCCTGTAGGATAGGGTTTAGGGTTTAACGGTTTGGAGTTTCCTTTTGGGAGGTCTCCTTAAGGATTGCAGTATTCTGGGGCAAGCTG